AAGACAGTGAGGGGATTTCTTTTCATTGAGAATAAAAGAAAAGGAATATATACAAAGTTGGCCAAGTTTGATGCGCATGAATATTCTCAGCATACTAATTTGGCCCGATATGAAAATATTGCTTCTTCTACATCAGAGAAGTAGTCTTCAAAGAACATCATTTCCGTAAGTGTGTTTTATTTTAAAGGGTACTGGTTTCATAAAAATGTCTTTGATGAAAAGAATCTGTTGTCAAATGGGCTTGGGAAATTGGGAGCACTTTTCCTCTCATAGATTCACAATGCACATTGTCACAATAGAGGCTCTGAGAAATTCTAACAGTAGGTAACTCTGAAATACATTGTTTAACTCAGTATTAACCATGCAACTGTATGTGTATGTGCATGTGTGTGTGTGATATTAGTATCGTGGCAAACTAGAGAATATTAGGGTTAAGTGTATGGACTTTAGGAAAGTCCCACATATTTCTAGCTGTTCAACCTTGAGAAAGTCATTTAACCTTTTCTGACCTTCATTTTTCCCTCTTTTAAAAATTGGGAGTAATATCTCTCTAGCACAGCCTTCCATGAAGATCAAATGGATGTCAAGACTATATCACAGATTCTGGGACCAAGGGGATCTTCCCAAAATGGTTGGCTATTATTATTTTCATTATTATTATTTATGAAGTCAAGTGACTGAATGGCTGGGACTTTCTGGGCCCGGGAGAAATATGTTATGAACTGGTAGTGCTCACTACTGTTTTGAAATATTTTTTTTAAGTATTGTATTGGAAGCTTGAATGCAAGAGCAATCTTTTCTACTTTCCTTTGTATATCCTTCACTAAGAATGTACGCTGGCATTGAATGCCTTCTTGCATTCATTCTCAACACAAAGCCAGAGGGGTCTTTTTAAACCAGAAGTTGGAGCATGTCACTCTTCTGTGTCTCTCCCCTCGCCCCCTCCCCACTCCCCACCCCATCTCACTCAAAAGAAAACCTAGAGCCTTCATTAATGGCCTCTAAGTTCTACATGATCTGGTCAACTGGGGCCTCTTTTACGCTATTTCCTTCTATTGCTTAGTCTATCTACTCTGATAAACAGATTTTCTTGCTGTTCCTTGGATATTAGAAACACACTTACCTCAGGACCTTTGCACTTGCTGGTCCCTTTAATAAAGAATCATTTCCCCAGTTATCATCATGGTTCCTTCCCTTATATCCTTCAGATATTTACTGGAATGTTTCATTCTTAACCCTGCCTAAACTTGCAATATATCCCTACATACTCCAGCACATTCCTCTTTCTTGCTCTTCATTTCTTGACTACACATCGGACATGCTCTGTTTTGGCCATTAGTGCTTCGTTTCTTGTCCATTTCCATTTGATAGAACATAAAATTCACAAGAGCAGTGTCTTTTGTCTCTCATTCTGTGCCATAACTCAGTGCCTAGGACAGTGCCTGGCACAGAGTGGATGCTCAATAAACGCTTATTGAATAAATAAATGTGAAAACTGCATAGGTTTTGTTGCTATAGACTACGTGCATTCCCTCTAAGCCCAGCTGTGGATGGCTTGTGGAAGCACGGAACACACAGTTATAAGATGGTCTCTGTGGTTTTTATTAGTGCTTTCTGGGACCCAGCAAACAAAAAAAACAAAACAAAACAAACGTATTTTGAAAAATATAATTCTTTCATAGAAGAGGAATACTCAATTTGAATTTAACATAGCTTAAAGGGCGAGATTTCTGATCTTTAAAAAATAGTTGTAATAGGGTCATTTCCTACAAATTGTCTACCCAGAAATCAGATGGGAAGAAAAGCAAGATTTATGCAGACAGCTATGAAAAGATTAATCCCAATTCAGCTAAATTTGTGACCGTTTACACATTTCAGTGGTTCATAAGGCACAGCTTCAATGTGTTTTTATTAAATGCTGTATCTCTTATTGCAGAAATGAGGTTAATTCAGCTCTGAGATTGTGACTGCTAGGTTGTTCTTCCTTTCAGACAGTAAGTGTTCATCCATTAGGTTCATATGGAGCATCTATTACACTCCATATAATTAGATAAACTTTTCACATACTTGGTTTCATGCAGTGCATATAGGCACTTGATAAATTTTTTTGTTAAACTACAGAAGAGTAATATGATTGCTTTCCCTCTTACTATTTTTCCTATCTTTTATACACTTGGAAAACATCACACTTGCAAAACTAAAATCTAACATGCATGACTCACCTTATCAAAAGATCCCTCCATATTTTTCAAAAAAAAAAAATATATATATATATAAACCAATCCCCAAATACTAAAACTTAGAATTGCTTTACACTTAAATAGCAATTTACATCATATAAACACATTCATAATCTTCATTGGTTAAAACAGGTCAAAGGTACATTCCTGGTTTCTTATACCAGACAAATCTCACAGTTCCTAATAAAGCAACAGAATTCTCATCCAACACATGACTTTCGGGAGCAAACGGCCTGTTTTGGTTTCATTTCAGCGAAGGTTGGAAGGCAAAGTAAGGAGTCTCACAATAAAATGTTCAGCTAATAGGGTCACATGTCCTTGAAGTTATGGCCGTTGTGCTCTTATTCTGGTGAAGAAATGATTCACATCCCAATTCTGGGTCTGGCCTCCCACTCCAAGGAGTCTTCCAGAAGACATTCATTGTTAACTCAACAAATATGTATTGAGCACCTGTCTCATGCTAGGTGCAGTGGGGAAATATTGATAAGATGTAGTCCCTGCCCACAAAGAGCTTACAGTCTAGAAAGACAAACACTTTGAGAAAGGACTAGCTTGTCTAAAGGAAAACTCATAACCTGGGTCTGCCTGGCTCAGAAGGCAAGTTCAAGAAGCTGTCGGTATGGCCCTGGGAGCTAGGACCGTACTCAAGTTTCATCAAGTCAAATAACTAGGCACCATGGATAACCTGAGTCTGGTAACGTCTTAGCAATACATCTCCTGCCTCGGGTTCCCATGAAAACTACATGTAAGAGTCCAAGCCTTTAGCTTAAGGAAGGTGACCATGTGAGCACCCAGCACAGACGTGCTTCTCAAGGGAGAAGCTGTGTGTCCCCCGCAAAGAAGGGGTTGCTTCACTTGATGCTGGCTTATCTCTGGGATTTTACTCCCCCTTTCAACACTGTGGTGGGAAGTATTTCGTTCACACCCCAAGTTGGCATGGCTCGATTACCTTGAGTTCTCCAAGTCACGAACAGCACAGAGAAAATGCATCAAACTCAAGCCAAGACAATAGAGAGATAATCTGAGAACTTAATACTCCAGCCTATTTAAGTAGGAGCTGGGTGCCAAGAAACCGTCATTTTCAAGAAATAACACAATCTGCTAATTATCTGCAGAACTGTTCCAGTCGGTACTCCCCAGTTCTCGCTTACTACCTAGCAAAGATTGCATTTCAACAGAGAAGGTGCAGAAAGAGCCAATTTGGAGGACTGTAAGAAACCTACAGGGGAAGGGCAAACTCAGAGAACAATCTAGTCACCTTAAGTGACAAATAAGCAAAGCCAACGAAGGAATAGCAGAGAGGATTATCAGGTGCCCCTAATATCTTCACACAATTCGGACGCACACAGACACTCAAACAGTCATGTGTTGACACCAATTCAAATATCTGGATGTTTAATTCATTCTCTGTGAAGTATAGTCAAATGCTGGGAAGGCCTCACAGTTCTTAGCCTGGCTTGGAAAACTAGGTGTGCCTTTTACAGGAATGTGTCAGAGCTGGGTTGCTCACTGTTATTTCTCTCAGTTCCCTCAGTAACTGTTACTTAACAACACTAAGTAACACCTTTGTGGAAGTGACCAAGCCAGGCAGAAACAAAAATGAACTTGGTTTTACCTTCAGAAGGTCATTCATCTCACTACCTTGGTGTGCAAAGATCACCATTCCTAATGGTTGTCATTATAAGGAAGACAAATTGTTAATTCTTCTTACTCCCGGCCTTCTAGATACATTACAAACACTTTGCAATCTTTGACTAAGAATTGCTCACCTCTGCTGGCTAAGACACGGTGGCAGGCGGTCCATTAGTTGATGAAGAGCACTCCCTCTTATTGGTACGTGTCTTCCACCCCATAGTATTGCTCAAGAGAGGCAGGAGGGAGGAGAAAGCCAAGGACATGGGGATCCCAAAAGAAAAGTTGCAAAAGAGTGGATGTTCAAATCCATTTGCAAAGTGTCTACAGGCTCACAGACCTCCCAGATTACAAGACCCAGTGATCAGGCCCCAGGTACCCCCAAACAACCCCACCATTGAAGTCTCCAACTCCTTACTGACTATAGCTCCTAAGTTCTTCTCTGTTTTTCTCTTTCATCCTTTTTTTTCTATGTCTTCTTTTCTTTTTAAACTTTCCTCTCTCTCTCTCTCTTTCTTTCTCTTCTCTCTCTCTCTCTCTCTCTCTCTCTCTCTACAGTATAATTTTTAGTCTGCTTTGTGATCCCAGAGAAAATGTCTTCTTTTTGTTCTTGCTACATTACTTTGTTCATTTTGTCTGACTTTGTCTCTCATCTGGGGTTCTGAAAAGAAGTCCCTCTAATTACTTAAGCCCACTTTCCTTAATATTTTAAAAATTAAAAAGAAGTTGGACTTTGAATCTTGCTTCTGCTTCTTCTTAGGGACTAAAAGATCTTACATGTCTTATTCTTCTGAGAATAAGTCACCATTGTCATCTTGACTGGCTAAATCGGTGGTTCTCAATCAAGTGCAATTTTGCCCCCCTCCTCCTCCCCTCTGCCATGGGGGACACTTGAAAATGTCTGAAGACATTTTTGGTTGTCACAACCTCGGAACCAGAGTGCTATTGGCCGCTAGAGGGTAGAGGTCATGGACAGTGCCACACATCCTACAATGCACAGGAGAGTCAAATAATGCACAACAAAGAATTATTCAGCCAAAAATGTCAACTGTGTTCACTGAGAAACCATGGACTATAGGAATACAAGAGCAAACTCATTGCCACCTCCTTTTTCCCATTTAGTTTCTTAGCAATTGGGATAAAAATAACCAAGACTGGACCCTTTCTTAAGTAACTAGAAGTGAGCAGAGGTGGTGACTGAAGTTTGTTCCACCAATCATCCACGGGGAAGGGAGGAAGACAGCCTGGGCATCAGAATCATTGCTGAGTGAGAAAAAAAAAAAAGCCCCCACCCTTATTCTTCTGGCTGATTTACAGATTGCAAGTCATGTGATTATGGAGTGAGTACAGTCCTCCTAGATTTTTGGAGGTCCTCCTTCTCCACGCAGTGGCTCCTAAGGGTCAGGTGAAACTTCCCAGCAGCCTCCAGTTCATGCCATCAATAGGAGACCCCGGATGGAGCTCATCCTTGCGACCACGCCCACCTCTCTTAATGAGACCATGTAGTTGCTTAGGTGCGAAGGACACACGCCACCTTTTCCTAAATCACTTGCATATAAAAATATTTAATGCCCTCCAATTTTTTCCCCCTTCTCTCGGCAAGAAGCATGAAGGCCGCAGACCCATTCTTCTTGCAAGTGGAAATGAACTTCACAATAAAGGCAAACACCAATCCCAACCACATACAGCATCATAATTCACAGAAAACTGTGTACGTTGGCTCCCCAAACAGGATGTACTTCAAAGTAACAAAATGAGTTTATCAACTGTAGTGTTCCTTCTTCCCGTTAGAAGTCGATTTTTTTTTTCTCCCTCTCTCCCTCGTGGTACATAAATAGCAGAGAAAAGTCTTGGACATATTTACATCCAGGAGTTCCCGGCTTGCTGGGATGTGGGGTTTGTCTTGGGTTGTGTTCCAAGGGTCAGTTTTCATTTTCTCTCCATCCACGTGCATTCTTTCCAAATTTATACACCAGTCTCCGTCCGTCCACCCGCTCCAGGATCTCTCTTTTGTAGTAATATCTGTAACAGAGGACATTGGTAAGGTGGCTGCTCAGATGAGCCTGCCGGGGACTACCTGGTCGTGCGGCCGTCTGGTGTGCGGAGACCAGCACCCCCTCACCTCATGGCCCGGCTGAGTTTCTCGTAGGTCATGCTGCTGTTGTTCTTCTTTTTGCCCCACAGCTGAGCCACCGCCTCCGACTTCAAGAACCTAAAGATGCCCTCCGACCTGTCTTCCCACTTGATTAACCCTGGATTCTTGTCTGGGTTCAGGAGGATGTCCCGGATGAATTCCCATAAGTGAGTCCCTCGCGGGTCTGAGAAGCAGAAAGAGGAGTTTAGTGATGGCCGAAGTCACAGCAAATCAGGTGCCAAGCAAGCATAGAGTTGGAACATCTTCCATCCGACGGGAGATCCTTAATTCTCCCCCTGCCCACCCGCGAAGCCAGATCACAGAATTCCCAAATATTGTACATATTAACAAGATGTTTGACAATGAACTAGCACAGTTTTTTAATTTTGTTTTTAGTTTGCAAAACAGAAAACTGAGACACAGAATTTAAGTGACTTGACCACGGTTACATAGTTAACTAGTGGCAAAATCAAGAGGAAAGAATAGGCGTTAGGTGGCCTATTTTTAAAGTATCTTCTAAGTATTGTTGACAACTGTTCTGGGATTCGTTTCAACGTGTTCCTTCCCCAGAAGGCAACTTTCAACCACTTTTATTTAGCAAGTACTTCATCCATTAAATCACTCCCACCCAGCAACTGTGCACACCGACTGGGTTCTAGTATTGTAACTCCTAGAATAGATGGGGGTGAGGTCTCCCTGAGGTTGAGGGGGTCAATTTAAAAATGAAGGGGTAACTGTAATAAGATTAGCAAATTCAATTATATCCCCCAGTAGACTTGTGACACACACACCCACCCACGCCTGCCAGTTTGAGGGGTTGTGCTCACACTGCTCTGTGGGATAACCTGGAGTAGCAGATAAGGAAGAGGGCCATTTCCCTGCAATTTCTAGATTACACCATCTTCATTTATTTCTACACAACCCCCCCCCACACACACACACCTTATCTCTGATATTCCGTACACTTTCATAAGGTTTTATTATTGGGGGACATACAACCCCCAAGGAGCACGGTTGAATCTTAAGAATAAAGTCATTTCTTGGAACAAGAAGTCTACAAAGGTAGGAAGCCAACATTCAGCAAAAGCAAATAATACTGCATCAGCTGTTTCTTTCTATCTTTCTCCTCCTCCCCCGCTTTTTTTTTTTTTGGAGAAAAGGAACCTGCTAGCCCCATGTCTATAGGAAATCTCAGTTTTTTAAGAACAAAGAACAGAAGGAGGCCATATATTCATTGGGGGTTCCTTCAGGGGGTTACTCTGCCAGTAAGTGTTGCCTCTATTTTCTCACCCTCCCCAGTCTGAGGTGAAGAATGGGAGGCAGCAGGCAGAGGCAACATTTGTCTAAAAACTAGTGGCCTCCAATTATACCCAAGTTGAAGGACGGGCTAAGTGCCATCTGAAAGCCAGCCGACTTACTGTGCTTTTTGGTGTGGGACTTGGCAGGGTGGTCTTGCTCCTTCTTCACATCAGGTGACTCTGCTGCAGAGAAAAACAAGAGCTGTTTAATTTCCCTCTTCCCTTCAATTGTCATTTTCATTTCTTCATCTACCCATGTAACCAATATTTATTGAGCACCTACTACATGCCTGGCACATTTCCAATACAAAACAGAGAGGATAACTGCTCTGGAAAAAAAAATACTGCAGGGTAAGAACTGAGGATAGAAGTATGGAGATGGGACTAATTGGCAATTTCATATAAGGTGGTGGTTATAGAAGAGACCACCAGAAGGGCGTCAGGGAGACAGCCATGCAGAGAGCTTGTGCAAGAGTCTTCCAAGAATGAGAATAGTAAGTGCAAAGGCCCTGAGGTCAGTGTGAGTTTCTATGTCCACAGAGCAGCAGGAAGCCAGTGTGCCAGTGAGCAAGGGGCAGAGGGGAGGAGGTCCATACCATTAAGGCTTTGTGGGATCTTAGCCTGTATTTTGAGAGATCTGTTGAGCCACTGAAGGATTTAGGTCATTGAAAGGGTTTTTGTTTTTCATGATACAAAAATGTAAACATTTATAACAAAGAAAGATGGCTTTTAAGCCAAAGGAGGGCCTTTTTTGGCATGCAAGTTTACATTTTAATCAGCCTGACAAAGAGGCCATTGACTGGCCTGAGCTCAGTACAGAGGGCCACGCGGGCTATGGAAACACAGATTAGTTTAACAAATGACTCATTATGGTAACTCTGTGACTATCACCAGCAAGGAGATGACAGAGGCGGAATAAAACTTCTTGAAAAGAAAAATAAATGATCTAGCTCTGTGTGTGTGTGTGTGTGTGTGTGTGTGTGTGTGTGTGTGTCAGTGGGTACTTCCCATGTCCAAGGCAGATCTTAATACACACAAAAAGTCACACAATAAAAAATCCACCAGTTTTAATAGAGTAGTCCCTACATGCAAGCCAGTTTTGTTAAGAAACTGGGCCAGCAAAATGCATCACTTCTGCGTATGTTACATTGGGACTTCTTAACCTACGCTTCACTACCGTAGGTGCGGCCTTCAAAGGCGTTTCAGACTGGCTGAAAATATATGCAAAGCGAGAGGGTCTGAAGCATTCATTCAATTGTCAAGAGTGGGTCATTATTCAAAAAAAAAAGTTTGAATAACCATTCGCTCCTATTTTAAGTAGTTAAGAAGAACAGCTACTGATGTTGAGCACTTACTATGTAAAAGGCACGAAGCTAGGCATATTACCTGACTCACTTTATTTCATTCACACAAATAACCCTGTGAGGTAGGTACTATTAAGACCCAGCGTTTACAGCAACAAAGGAGCTGAGATACAGAGAGGTCATATGACTTGTCTAAAGTCATACAGCCTGAGAGGGGAGCCAAGACGCTAACACGGTCAGTTTGAACCCAGAGCCTTTACTATAACCACTAGTCTCTGCCATTTCTTAAGCTGGTGGCACATAACAGATGTGATGAAAGTCTCCCCCCTGCTGAGAATCAGGGCCAGTTCTCTCATTATGCTCTAGTTAGTGGGGAAAAGTAATTCCGTATTTCCCAGTGCACAGGGACACACTCGCCTCTCTGATCACTCAGCCTGCCCGGACTCGGGGCTTCCAGCAGTTTCCCTGAGAGCCATGGTAAGTTGGGGGAGAGGGATTTAATAAGATCTGGTCAGAAAAGGAACCTCTTATTCTGGGTAAGAATTCCTCCCCTGGCTTTGTCAGCCAGAGACCCGCACCTGCCTTGGGTTTCTCTGAAATCCAGAAGGACAAATTCACAGGAAATGCAAGGAGACTTCACTCTCCCTCCCTGTAGGTTTCAGGGTGAGGTTGCAACATCCCATCAGGATGTGACAATATTGCAACAGGTCTGGCGCTCACCCCGGTTTCCAAGTATACATCACTCTGACAGGGCCACGTTGTTCTTCAGACAAAGAGTGGCATTTACCCAGCAGGCCACAAGCAAGGCTCGTCTTCAAATGGCAGGGCCTTTATTTCAAAGCCAAGGTTGAGTTCAGAAAAAAAAAAAAAAAAACACAGAAAAACAGTGTCTCCCAGTTTATTGGCCCCAATCATTGCGTATGGGTTCCACGCTGGTGTCGAATCAATTACTTTGGGGTTAAGGTAACTTTGTGAATAAGACGGAAACCTTAGACCCTTCGCCCCAGAAAAAAATGCACATATTGTTCACTTGTGAAAATCTGTGAACAATCCCAGGGGTTCATGGCTCACTTCGGAGTCCTTGGACTCCAGATTAAAAAACCCCAGGCCAGATAGACCATGAGATGTCAGCCATTTACCTAGGCTAGCTCTCTGTCCAGTTTGGAAAAGACCAAATAAAAACTATTCCCCAATACAAACGTTTCCATCATCATACGGAGGATTATGCAGCCCAAAGCTAAAGGAAACCCTCGTTCTTCCAGACTCCTTGTGCAGTCCCGAGCGTGAGGGCAAGCTCTGGAATCCCTGAGCTGCCTTTACACTAAAATCTTTTGATCTGAAACCTCCCTTTAATATGATGGCCTCTCCCCCTCCTATTCCCCTCAACCCCAATAAAAGTCAGAACCTTTGAAGGCAGCCATGTGGTTAGGTGATTCATGCTTATAAAAGGAGGGCTCGCTCTGGGGCAGTGGTCCAGCTTGGCTTTCTCTCGCCGGGCGCCCAGGCCTCTCAGGCCAAGGTCTGGCCAGGGCAGGGGCAGCACGAAGCCCCAGGTTTATGATGCAAGAGCCAGATGGTGACTTCAGCTAAGCTGCTTCGCAAGAAGAGAAGATTAGAAGCATTTGCATATGATTCAGCTGTGAGCCATTTCTTTACGGGATATACAAATTTCAGTGTTATAATAGACCGTGCCACCCTAGCTTTAGGCTCAGCAAGTCGGTGAATAAACACATCAGGCCCGAGTTGGCGTGATTGGCTCGAGGACTATCGGGCAGATCAGGAACACTGGCGGCAGCCATTTTATGAAATGGGCAGATGGCAGGGAAATCAAAACAAAGGCCGCTGCCCCGCCCGCCTTTATCACCGAGGGCATCAGTTTACCGGGCCTCGCCTTCGCTCCACGGGTAACTTGCATTAAAACATAGAAAGGTACTTAACTGCATTCAGTCTAATGGGAGCATGAAAGGTAAAGACCACGCTCTCTCTCCTTTTTTTTTCCCTGGGGGAGGGGCTCTGGGCCCCTCCAATAGAATAGACACTAAACTATACTGAAAGGAATTAATAATCAAATATCCTACTGGAGGCCTGTTATGCCAAAGAATTTGGCAACCCCTGACACTCAATTGGTTCTTTAAGGGATAATTCTGGTAGAAGACCTGAACTGATGATCTCATTTTCCAGCCTGTGTTACACTCTACACTCGTGGGGTAGGGATGAGGGGCAGGGGGGTCAAGGATCAGGGGAGATCATGGGGAGCAGATTTGTAAAGCCCATTTAAAGGAAGGCCTTTTCAGAAATAGGAGACTGTGAGTTTTCTGCCGCTGCCAATCTGAAAGCAGGAACTGGCCTCTGGGGCCCCGCAGACCCTGAGGTTCAGAAGTCAGGACAGGGAAGAGAGGCCTGGAGGGGAGGGCAGCAGGGCTGTGATTATGGCTTTTAGGCCTACCAACCCCCCGAGGCTCAGGAAGTGGTTGGTTCCACCTTACTTCTGGTTGGAATCTTTTGCCATAAGCCAAAGAGCCAACCGGAAGGACGTGGGCGGCGACACCTTAGGAAGTGTGAGAGGAAGTCAGAGGGGGAGCAGGCAGGTGGTTTCCTCGGCTCTGGCAACGATTGCACAGAAATGTTACTTCGATTGGCTCAGTTCCCCCAGAAGGGCAGATTCAGCGTTGGATCTGTTTCTTATTTTCCACAGATATGTAGAGTGACACAAAGTATGGGTCACTAGAAGGAGGGGGAAGTAGAGAAATGAATTGGCCTCAGTTCTTAACCTCAACCCCAGAAGCATTGACACTGGCTCCCAGCCCTGTCTCATTCCAGGGGCTTGACCGTACAAAACCTCAAACCAAAAGCTTTCATTATTTCAGTTCTCAAAAACATACTCAGCAAAAGCAAAAAAAAAAAAAAAAAAAAGAGGGAAGAGGGGTTGTTGTTTGATTCTGTGCTTTCTTCCCCAAACACTCATTTAAATCCAAGGTCTGAAGTTGTCCCAAATTCAATTCCAAGAAAGGGCGATTCACTTGCGACAAGTCTAAGCTCTGTTTCACAGACCCAGACAGATCCACAAGTGCGCACCCAGACTGAAGGTCAACGTGAAACCCTCCATTCATCTCCCCAATGCACTCAGTCCTACCTGGTGCATGCCAAGGTACCTGTTTGTAAATGGAGGGGGGAGCATAATCTGAAAGGCCCTCTCTCAGACTTTGTGCAAACCAACCCTCTCATTCAATGTAACCTTGATTGAGTCATGGATAGCCAACAGGTGCATCTAATCTTAACCAAATACAACTAACGTGAACAGAATTCAAAAAGTGACTGGAGAGTCCTGATGAACCGGGCTTCAAGAACTGACAAAATAGTGTAACTTCTGGGGTTCTGAAAATTTCCAATTGCTCCCCCTCTACCCAAAGACCATTGGCACAGGTTCACGGACCTCCGTTAGACCTTCTTTCTCTAAAGCCAAATAGTTTAGCGAAAATCAAATATGGCCTTCTTCCCCCATAAGTATACTCAAGTATGAATAATTTTATCAGACAGTTTCAACCGGTTTTTGTTGAAAAGAGAGTTTTTGTTATCACAAGAAGAGTGACGTGGTTTCACAGGAGACAAACACTTTTCCTAGAGGCATCCGCACTGGTCATATTCCATGTACAAGTATTGGCTCAAAAGCAGATCTTTTATGAATAGTAACTCTGTCCCTTTCCTCGCCTTTTAATGAGAAACATAGGATGTTGGCAATTCTCATTAACGCTCAGTAAGCAACTTCATGAGGCACACAGCCTCTGATGTCAGGACAACTTACCTACAGGAAGGTGATTGGTGGTTGTCATGGAGATCTGGGCTCGGCAGAATGTTTTGCTGTCCAACAAATCTGTAGCCATGAAAAGATAAAGGACATTGAGAGCCCTCTCTGACGACAGAACTTTTTGGCTATTAGGATAGCAAAATCAGAATGTAAAAGGGCGTGCAGTGCTGGGGAGTTAGTTACCTACTGTGCTACCATAGTTGGTGTCATATAAATAGTTTTCTTCTTTCCAGGTGTTCATGATGGAAGGGTCTACAAAGGACAGAAAATGGGAACAGTCAGCAATCATCATCTCTGGGGAGGAGCTTCCCTTTTCTAACTCACGCCTCATTAGGGAGGCATAGGAGCTAGGGGGTGGTCTCCAGAGTGTAGGGCGACAATGCTATTCCAGCCACCTGTTACTTTATAATAATGTTACCCTCTGTTTCTTCCAGTGTCCTGGGGAAATGGACTTTGCTATAGCTCTAGCCATGTGTTCTGCACCTGTTGCATTGTGGGGGAAGTTGCAACAGTGGAATTCTGACCTAGACCAATGCTTGGGTTTCCTGGGAATTTTCTCAGACTGCACACGGCAGGGTGTGGGTTTAGGAGCCTGACCTTGTCTTGCATTCTACTACACAGGGACCAGAATATTTTTACACTAGAAAAAGACATTGTTAGAGACAAATAAATTCATGATTAATGAACAACTTTTTTCAGTAATATGTTCCTGGGAGAATTAATGATGTTTCCGTCAGAAAAAAAGTCTAGTCATTTTCATCATAGTGTCTTCATTGCTGCAATCCAGAGAGATCTCTCCTCAGGTTGGCGACAGCCCCCTCCCTCTAGGATTTCTCCAAATAGCTTAAGGGACAACATGAAATTCTCAAAACACAAATCCAACAACTTTTAAGAGTAGGGCTCCATTGCCTCATCTTGCAAAAGCATCTCTCTCTCTCTCTCTGCAAGCATGTCTGACTCTGATTGACTCTTCAGATTTCAGATTCAAAGGAAACTCCCCTCTACCTACCCCAAATGAAGCCCAATTCCTACGCAACCCCCACATCTGGGCTAGTCTCCAACAGAAGCATTTTCTTTCCTGGCTGGCCGAGAGCTGCAAGATCTGGCAAGGAGTGCTCACCTCGCTCGTCCCTACCAGGAACTTCCTGCTTTCTTCTCTTCACAGATCACGGCTGCCCTCGGCTCCCCTCCTGCCCAGCTTCTGAATTTCTGGGCCGGGTGGTAAGTCACTGGCCGAGTTTCATTTTGTTTTTACAACATAAAAGGTATAAAACCTGAGTCACTGGCTAAGTCCTCTTGTTTACGACACAGGGATTTAGCTGGTATTTTAACTAATAGCTACGTGTTTGGGCACTCCAAGCCCAATCTCTTGGGGTTACACCCTCTCTCCTTGTTGGGTCACCTCGTACACCTGTTGTTGTCTCTGAAAACAAACTGAACCAAAAGGTATGGAGGTGTCGGCCCCTCTGTGAGCCTCTTCTCCCCTCCTCCCTGGGCGGACCTTCTCCTCCACCCTTTGGCTTAGCTTTTCTGAACTGGCAACACAAGAATGTCTGGATGGTCAAGGAGGAATTATCGAGTTACTTGGGACCTCTGCATGCCATCCTGGCTATGGTGGGGCTATCTGCCCAGTCATTGTGGGGGTGGGGCACACCATCTCCCTACTAAGCCCCTGTATCTGCCTCTACGACAGCCAGACCCATAAAGCACAGACCATCCAGGTAACCCAACCCCTGGTCTGTGGGAGAAGGCAGAGCTAGGAAACGCTAATTAACATGCTTAGCAGCTATTGTTTTTGGCTTAATAATAGTAGACTAGCCCCCTTATAAAAGAGCAAATAATTGCATGGGGCCAATTTGGGCTCTGGATGGCTCACAAATCACTCCTAGGTGCAATTCTGCCCTTAATGACTGGCACGCAACCCTCAGGCAGGCCTGCGGGCTCTCATGGCTTGCAGCCTCACCGATGAGGACCTAGACCTGGGGAGCAACCCTGGAGCAGTGGCAGCTGCACAGTTTCATCATGGCCAGTGGACTTTCAGGGACTTGCATAGCTCCCCTTAGACCAAGAGGCCATAGGCCAAAGGTCAATGTGCAAGGAAATCCAATTTGTGCAAGGCCACTGGGCAAAGCTTCTTGAGGCAGTTATTGCCCCTTGCAAGTTTCCAGGGGTGACCGAAAGTCCCCAGGTGAGAGATTAGGATGGGGGAAGGAGAACAAAAATGAATAAGGATACCGCGGGACTGCAGACCCCATTGACAGCCCAGAGTAATCTTTCACCTAAAGGCACAGAAAGCAGAAGTTGGGTTGCCTTTGACATTCCTACGGAACCTCTGAGAGCTCTAGAAACCACAGTAAGTACAACAGCAAGTCTGCATCTTCATCCTTTTTGTGTAACACTCCTACCAAGGGAGGGGGAGAGGGAGAAACATAAACCCTTCCTCTTCTCTCCCCTTGCTTCTCCTAACTTGGTCAAGTCCCCTGACTCTGTGGTGAGAAGGAGGCCCACATAGACTTTACAGTTTTCCCAGCTCCTGGAGCAGAGCCTGGATGATGTCCTGACCAGTAGTGGGAAGCAGAGAAGTGTGGGCAGAATTGGTCTCACCATCAGTCTAGAAATCAGAAATAGTTGGCAGTCACTGGTCCCAAGCCCAGGGGATGAGGCTCACAGAGGGTGGCCCCTTGGAGACAGCCAGGGAAGAGGCGTCCCTGGGTTTCCTGCCAAAATACTGGCTCCTTCCTGCTCCCACACTCCCTCGCACTCACTCCCCATTGTCCCCCCGCCTCCCCCCCACAGGGATTTGCCTACCAAGTTGGTTCTCTTTGCTACTACTCACCCGTTTGTTCAGTCTTGACAATGACATTGTGTGTGGACTGGAACAGGTCACTGCTGCACTGGCCTGTGAAGGGCAGAGTGGGAAAGTCAGAACGGGCCCGCAGGGAGCCAAAACTTAAACAAGGACGGAGCTGACTTCTGAGAAGAGCTTCTGCCAGTCCCACTGCCTGATCACCTGACCACCTCTGTTTGCTTATGGGAGGGGGCTTCCCTCTCTGCATCTATAAACTCAAGTCTGAACTTCCTGGCACAGAAAAATCAGTAGCTCGGGCACCCACATCGGATGGAATTATGTGGCCTTGTATAGGGAAGGCATCCAGTCTGGTAGCAATAGAACTTCAGAAGTCAGAAGATCGGTGTTCCACTAAGAACTGCAAGGCACTTTGCCTTCCTGGGTCTTGGTTTCCTCCTCTGTAAATTTAGGGGATTAAACTAGATAAAGTCATTACTAGATGGTATCTAAGGTGCTTTCCCAGCTAAGATATGACATGACATGAAAACGCAAATATAAGGAAAACCAGTTTAATTTAACTGGCTTTATTCTTCTTTGATCTTAAAAGTAATCAAATTTATTCTTATTAGACCCAATCTATGAGCTATGGCTGGGTAAATGCAGTGATTCTTCCCTTCTTTATGCCTTGCAATTCCTCTCTGGATGTGTCATAAGTAAAAAAACATGTATATACAGATGAATAAAGGTCATATGATTTTTCTCTCTAGCCAGATTATAAATATCTCAGGAGCAGGGCTCATGCTCTAACCTCTCTGGCCTTCAGTTGTCCCATCTGTAAAATGGGCACAATATTTATTTTCTCAGAAAGTCATTAAATGAATCAACTCACTTAGCATGCCTAGGATACGTAAACACTTAATAAATGTAAGTTAATGGAACATCTACAACATCTACAAAAAGGCAAACAACAATCAAAGGTGAGAAATCTGGTCATTAGCCACTTCCAGAGGCACCAGCAGCATCCAGTGGGACCAAACCAGTCATGGAAGGTCAGAGATGGAAGGTCAAAGACAGCCACATCACCTCCCAGGACTCCCCACCTTGGGCTTCAATCCGGGCAAAGCTTTGAAGGTCTGGATTTAATTGGAGGTGGGAAGGTAAATATTTTTAATTCCTCAAGTGTAAATCTGCTCTTTCTGAAGATTCCTGGGGATTATTTATAGAGCCTTGTTTGGTTTGGTTCTAGTAAAAGAAAAATCATGTCTGTGAGGTCGGGGGGAAGAAGGAAGTGCCCAGGAGCTGAATGAGGTCATCCAAAATGGCCAGCACCGAAGCCGGCTCTGTGCCCAGGCGGGGACCTGCTCAGGGTTGATGGCAGCTGTCAGGGACTCATGCTTTCCAAAGCCTCAACTACCGGCCTACATACAGGTTCTGCTAAGACAGACTTGACCATTCTGATGTGGACAGGCCAGCTCACTCTTGTTGTCTATCACTGCTTTCCAAAATAGCCGTCGTTCTCAGAGGAGCCATGTTTTCTTATAGCCATTAGCAGGGCAACTTTATGCCAGTGTCAAATACATTCTGCAAGACAAGTTGTCTGCCCACTATGTCTTACAAGCCAGCATAGAATGTGTGGGTGTATGTATAAGCTATCGCGATACACAGTGTTTATATGGTGGCTGGCAGGGGGCTAGGTGAGACCTTGAAAGAGAGACATTTGACCTGGCCTGAATGGCTCAATGGTTGAGCATCAACTTGTGAGCCAGGAGGTCACAGTTTGATTCCCAGTCAGGGCATATGCCTGGGTTGCAGGCTCAAACCCCAGTGTGAGGTGTGTAGGAGGCAGCAGATCAATGACTCTCTCATCATTGATGTTTCTATCTCTCTCTCCATCTCCCTTCCTCTCTGAAATATATTTATAATTTTTTTTTAAGAAAGACATTTGGCTCTAAGGGCAGCACCAACTCCAGAAATCACTCCAGAAACTTCCTACACGTGTCCAGACCATTAGCTCTAACTCCCTTTTTTGTTGTTGTTACTTAACAGAACTTTTAAGAATCTGCTGAAATATTATAAGTCTGCTCCCCTTCCCTCCCAAAACACAAACATAGACCTAATTTTGCATATCTTCTTACTATCCTAGGTTCCATCTTAAGAACCTCGGTCTGGAAGTTTCGAAAAAAAATAACCATGATGATCTTAGCAAGCAAGTAATTGGGAATTAAGCTGTCAAACCCTGTTTGCAAGTCAAAGAGGAAAGGTTTTCTGAGAGGAGCGAGTATTCTGTGAATACCCTGCTAGCACATCTCCTGGATCATCGGCCACAGGAGAGAGTTAAATTACACTGGGTTTGTATGGGTCTTGACACACAGCCTAGTTTTTCTGCTTGTTCTCTCCCCTCCCTTCTACTTCCCTGTCTTGGAAACAGTAATTTGGAGGCGAGACCATCCTTTGATGCCCCTGACTAGGATCCCTGCTGGCTGCAAGACTTTGCTCTTCTCAGCTGACTCCTAGCGAGATGGAAAGAAAGGCAATCACCGTTCCACTTGAGATGCTGCAAGTTGCTGTAAAGGAGCTGCCCCGCCGTCCCTGCCGCCCGGATGAACTCCTGCAGACTCATGTTGCACAGGTGCTCGCCGTTGATGTCAAACTCCTGGAAAGGGATGCAGCTGGCGTCCAGCTGGTTGGTGTCCAGCAGGTGCTGGAGCCATTCCCACACCTGGTACTTGGTCCAATACTGAGGATGGATTTCATGCCACTGGCCTCCAAAAAATCCACTGGAAACTGCAAAACAGGGGGTGGTTCTGAGTGACCCGTGGTTGTTCCTGGGCATAATCCCAGACAGGGGTGGGGTGGGGTGGGTATGCATCACTGGCTGCCGGAAGTCATGAGGATCGGATCACAACCACAGTCCCTGTGCACCAGAGATCTCTGTTTACAAGGAGACAAGCTCTATAGAGGAGGCCCTTGGAAGTGTGGTCCTTTTTCTGGTTGTGATGGGGCCATGCATTTAGCCCCTGTGCATCTTGATGCCCTCTTCAGTATCAAATACTTACCCCTGGAAGCTGGATGAGGACCGGAGACCTGAAATACTCTGAGATCTTGAGTTTATTCCCCACCTTCCCCCAAAGTTCCATGAAAGAGAAAGCATTGCTGGTTTCAGCAACTTATTAGGTATTATTCACCCCTACATAGTTCTCTTTCTCTCTTCTTCCCCCTGTCTCCCTCCCATCTTCTTCTCTCTCTTACACACACATATACACATCCACATCTCAAATTCAGACCATGTTCAGCCAAAAGTGAGGCCAGAGGGTAAGGTTCTTTTCTCTAGGATGCCTTTGCTTCTCCTCACAGTGGTCCAGGTTCCCCATCCGCTAACTGTGCTGACCCATCCCTGCCCCACACTGGTTACTATAGCTACTGTGAGGTCATTTCCTTACACAGTTACCTTAACTTAGGCCGCTTCCCATCATCCACTGAAATTAGGCACAAAACTGCCAAGCCACGCATTGAGGCTCTTCACTAGCTGTTGATTCTTCTATGGCCTTTTTTCTATGTTGTCCTTTCAGGCAAGTTTCTATTCTACCAATCACTCCCTGTTGAATTCCTACCCAGCTTTCAAATTCTGACCACCCCACGAGGGAAGTCATCACAGGCTCCCATTTACTGTGAGGGCTGCTGTCCTGTGAATCGCCAGGAGACATGTTGGGTATTTCTCATAATGACTTTTGTCATGTTCTGCTTTCCTTTAGGAGTATCTAAGTACTGTCTTACTCTTCTCTGTAAATTGTAATGCTCAAAGTCATGGGCCCTGTCTCACGCATCTTTGTGCCTCCAATGAAAACTATCTTAGAGGCCTTGCCATCTTAGGCACTCGCGATAGATTTCTTTAGTGGAATTTGTTGCTGAAAAAGGAATAATGTGGGAACCTGAAAGAGTTGTGAGGTGCATTCACAAGATGGGTAGGTCAAATACCAGTGAAGAAAATTTCATTCAAGCCAATAAGAGTTGCTATGTTTAGTATAGGCTAACCATCTGTGCATGGTTACCATCGCATGCTCTCTTAAGAGAACATCATCAGCCCAAAGTCCTAGGGGATGGAGAAGAGAGAACCAGCCAGCCTTTGTGGGGGGCATGTAACAGGGCTGAGAGGTCTTATGGTCTCCTTGTAAACAGAGATCTAGGGGGAATAGCTCTCTTCTGGAAAGGTGGGGGGCAGGGGCTAGGGCAGTGATGGTGAACCTATGACACCTCTGACACGCGAACTCATTTTTTCGGCTTATTTTTCTTTGTTAAATGGCATTTAAATATATAAAATAAATATAAAAAATATAAGTCTTTGTTTTACTATGGTTGAAAATATCAAAAAATTTCTCTATTTGACACGGCACCAGAGTTAAGTTAGGGTTTTTCAAAATGCTGACATGCCGGGCTCAAAAGGTTCGCCATCACTGGGCTAGGGGAATACACTGTTGCCGCCCACTAAGCTGAAGCAGGGGAAATCTAGCTGAACATGATACACAGATATTCCCACAAACTCAAGGGTGGAATGTGTAGCACAAGAAAACTGTCCCTAACTTTTGCTTCAAGGTCATCGTACACCAGTACTTCTCAAACCTTGATGTAAATATGAATCACCAGGGAATGTAGTTCAAATGCAGATTCTGATTACACAGAATCCTGAGCTTCTGCATTCCTAACAAGCTTCCACTGGATGATGATGATGATGATGATGATGATGGTGGTGGTGGTGGTGGTAGTGATGGTAATGGTGATCATCTGTAGATACTGTTTGAGTTTCAAGGAGCTGAAGAATCCCTAAAGATTGGATTCCCATAATGCCCATGGCCTAACTCTCAGGAGAGGCTGAAGGGGGAATGTTCCCAACCCAATCCCACTTTTGCTCACACCTCAGAATCCATCCCCCGCTTCCAGATTTCAGGAGCACTAAGACCAGGAGGTCCAGATGATTTAGGCATGAAGGTGGCTGCTTGGGTAATAGCTGCCACTCACAGTGGGTACTTTATCCCTCATACCTCACGGCCAGACAAACACAGCCCTACACCCTCAGCGTGGGCCCTGAAGCAGAAGCCAGTGGTAGAGAGGTATGGGGACAAGGATTGGGAAAATCTAGTCCAAAAATTAAATTACATAGAAATATTTCCAGATATATAAACACACAGAGCTTAGACTGGATGTTTCCAATTCCTCTTCATTTTGGAGGTCTCACAATACAGCTGTTTAAGGAGGGGATATTTTTGTGTGGTTCCACGAGTCTTTGTTCTCTTTTTTTCTAAAATAATTGTGTTGTTATGACAGTGCAGCTCTGGGAGTGCAAACAAGAGGCCGTCGCTCTCAATAACCCAACAACCGGCCTGCAGTAATTTCTTCTCTCAACTGCACATGACCCAGATGAAAGGATCGTTCCTGACAGTCCATCCTGTCGGAACTTGAAAGCACCAGAGAATTTTATATGAACTTGACTGGAAAATTCTCCCCATCGGCCAGTGGACTGGTCAGATTCCTGAAATTTTGGATTCCTAAGAGTTCAGCTCTTCTCGGTCGTTCAAAGGACTTCCCCGACCCCAGCAATCATGACCAGGAGCTGGGCCTTCTGGGAGGCCTCTGGAAATTAAGAAATAAAAGTGGCACCTACATTCTACTC